TTATTTGAACTTGGTTCCTCAATTAATGTTGTAACAAGTAACACATTCTCCTTTCCCTTTCCTTCCCTATCAAAATTATCTTTTGAGCATATTCACATGACACACTGTGAGATTTCTTTTCAAATAATTCACCTCACTCAATTTCCTTTCAATTTGATAAGGCCCTCTAAACCTTGTCTTTAAAGGTTCACCTATCACTGAAAGTAGCACTAACACTTTATTTCCACTCACAAAATTGCGAATTTTTGATTTCTTGTTGCTTCCCTGTTTCATTACATGCTGTGCTACTTTTAAGTTCTGTCTATCCAACTCACCTCTTTATGTAATCTTTCCCTAAAATTTGTTCAAATATGTGGTCACTGAACTTTGACTCACCAATTTCTCCTTAAATAATTTCAGTGGTCTTCTCACCTCATGCCCAAAAACGAATTCAAATGGACTGAATTTAGTAGATCCATTAGGTGCTTCCCTAATTACAAAAAGTACAAATGGAATTCCTATACCCCAATCTGGATTGTCTTGACTATAAGCCCTTAACATGGTCTTTAAAGTTTGATGCCATTGTTCTAATGCTCCCTGTGATTCTTGATTGTACACAGTGGATTTGAATAGTTTTATTCCTAAATTATCCATAATTTCCTTGAATACTTTTGATGGAAAATTTGACCCTTGATCTGATTGTAACTGTGTGGGTACTCTGTATCTAGTAAAAAAAAAATTGAGTAATTCTTCTACAATCCTTTTAGCTGTGACAAAATAACCTCACACTTTGTCGATGCCTTTTCCCAATCTTAATGTATTTACATTTTAAAAGGAGCCAAATTAACCAAGCTTTTTTGAGGTAATGAAAGGGGAGTTTATTCATTCCCAAATGCATGATAAGATAATAAAACACACCACACATACAGACAGATGAGCAATGTAAATTGAGTAAAAAGGTAACAGTAAAAAAGACATATAAATCAGTCATTAGGGTCTGTGAGGAGTACACAGTAGAACGTTAGAGGCATTGAGTTGAGTTAATACTATGATAGAAATTGAGCAACTGATTTTGAGATTCTTAGCTCTGCAGGTTAGTTGACAAGCTTTTGTCCTGCTCGTTTTCCATGATGATTTCATTGACTGGCCTAGTTCCAGAACTCAAATTGAGAGAGGGTTTTTCTTTAACTGTAGTGCAAGGTTGTCTAATGGCTGCCCCTAAACTATGACCTTCATATTAGCACATTAGTCTACACTAGCACATCAGCCAAATAACAAAGTGAGACCAGGACTGCAGGCATTTTTTAACCCCTGTTTTTATGTCTTCCTGAGAAGGTTAAACACAAACATGTCTTTTGACTCATGTCCACAGTGTGGGATATAACCAGCAGGAGATGGTTTTCCTACTGAGCGGGATAATCAAATTTTGCTTTACATCTCTTCCTTTTAAGTGTCTGTTTGAAGTTTCCATGACACTGTAACGATGTGACATTCCATGGAGTCGCGCAGAGACTTCCAGCGGTCAGTGAATTCCATTTTCAGAATTTACTTTATCATGTATTCTTGGCTTGTTGGTTTTAAAATTCATGTCTTATTTTAAAAGTTCAATATGTTTATCATTAATTTGGCATTATGATCCATTGTCATGACACTGTCACACTTCAAATATCATGATTAGGTATAGCTACTGACTCCCTGTGAGCAATGCCACAAGAGGACTACTAATCTTTATTAAAAATTATAAACTAATGCTAAAAAGGAAGGTGAAATTTGAAAGTAAATGAAACATTGCTATAATTGACTTGTGACTATTAAAAGTAATTCATGTGATTTGAATTGCTGTTCATAATGATTTCTAGAAATAGAAAATGGACGCAAACTAAAAGAAACATTTACACTTTTAACACAGTGGAGGGCAGCATTTGTAACTTTTTTGAAAAGTGCCTGTGTTACAGAGCGATTTCTCTTCAGGATAGAACACTCTCTTCATGCAGTATCCTCCCTTATGGCTAATGCTGATTTTCTGCACATCCCTGAAAACAAATAATTTCCAGTTTGTTTTTTACAAGGAATTGAAGCAATAGTATAAATGCAGTTCAGGGGAAGCCTGATAAAAACATGAAGGAGAAAGAAATAGAAGGAATTGTCAACGAGTTAGATGGAGATGGGTGGGGTGAATTTGGTATGAGTCATAAAAACTTTTCAGACCAGTCTGTGCTGTGGATTCCATATGAATTGCTGTCCTTTGATTATAACTGGTCTCCCTGCTTTAAGAAAGATATTGTGGAACTTGAAAGGGTTCAGAAAAGGTTTACAAGGATGTTGCCAAGGTTGGAGGGTTTGAGCTACAGGGAGAGGCTGATTAGGCTGGGGTTATTTTCCTCAGAGCGTTGGAGGCTGAGGGTGATAGAAGTTTACAAAACACTGATAGAAGTTTATAAAATCATGAGGGGCATGGATAGGATGGATAGTCAAGGTCTTTTCCCCAGGGTAAGGGTGTCCAAAACTAGATGACATAAGTTTAAGCTGAGGGAGGAAAGATTTAAAAGGGACTTAAGGGGAAACTTCCTCACACAGATGGTGGCGTGTATAGAATGAGTTGCCAGAGAAAGTGCTGGAAGCTGATACAATTACAACTTTTAAAAGGCATCTGGATGGGTATATGAATAGAACGGGGTTACAGGGATATGGGCTAAATGCTGGCAAATGGGACTGGCTTAATTTAGGATATCTGGTCAGCATGGATAAGTTGGACTGAAGGGTCTGTTTCCATGCTGTATAATTCTATGACTCTAAGCATGCAATAAACTAAAATTTTCCATTGTTTAGTAACTTGTTTCTGCTAATAAGGTATTTTGTTCATTTTTGGTTAAGAGAATGTGAACACAATGGTAAAAATCAAAGAAAACCTAAGAAATATAATTTAACCTGAGAATCCAGTAGTAGCTATGACTTCTGATTTGATGTGCAATGCACCAAGTGAAATTAATGATCCTGTACTATCAGGATGTATTGAGTGTGCTTGAGTATCTTGTTGCATCTCAAGTGATTGTGAAGATTGTGTGTGTGTATGTGTGTGGGAGAAAGGGACAGAGAGTGTGTGTGTGTGTGTGTGTGTGTGTGTGTGTGTGTGTGTGTGAGAAGATTGTGTATGGCAGTGGGTTGCAGCATATCTAGGGAGGGAGGAGTTTGGGAGGGAAGCATTCAGTAGTTGCCAATTTCAAGTGGCACAAAAAAAAGCATTTCTGTTCTTCGTGGCCCCGCATTCAGGCTGCTAACATTTATTTAATTAATTTCCTCTGGAGGGAATCCCCAAAGATTTTTTTCTATTATTTAGCTTTTTTAGGCCTGAGAAAACTGATCACAATGTTATCTGCAAGAAAGCTAGTTAGCGATGGATGTAACTGGAACCAATTTTTGCATAATCTATGATTTACTTACAGAGTGAAACAGAGCATCTACCTCTTAGTTGAACATCCACAGTTTCAGTGTCTCCTAATAGGTGCTTAACTAAAGCCCCAAATAATGCAATTAATAAATAATTAACACACAATATGCATTGCACATAAGAACATAAGAATTAGGAGCAGGAATAGGCAAACCAGCTCCTCAAGCTTGCTCCATCATTTAATATGATCATGGCTGATCTCATCTCGGCCTCAGCTCCACTTTCCTGCCTGCTTTCCATCATCTTTCAACCTGTTATTAATTAAAAATCTGTCTATCTCCTCATTAAACTTACTCAATGACCTGACATCCACCGTTATCTGGGGTAGTGAATTCCACAGATTCACAAGACTCTGAGAGAAGTAATTTCTCCTCTTCTCTGTTTTAAATTCTCTACCTCTTATCCTAACATAACATTTCATTTTGTCACAATCCAATCTCCCAAAGATACCTGAATTAACTGTTTGGTCTTCTCTTTGCAAAGGGATTGGGCCTAAAGCCAAATTCAGGCAGGCAATCTGCATGACCTAATTCCACTAGTTTGGTCCTTTAATTACCTATCGTTCTTTTAGAAATCAGATGCCATGCAATCTTGGAGGAGCAGATTACTGCAGATGCTGGAAGCTGAGCTGAAAACAAAAAATGTTGGAGATCACATCAGGTCAGGCAGCATCCATGGAGAAAAAGCAAGCTAATGTTTTGAGCCCAGATGACTCTTCATCAGAGCTGAAGTGTGGAGGGAGCAGTATTTATGCAATAGTGGGGGCAGGGTGGTGTGCGGTTGGAGTGCTGGGGTAGAAAGGATGTTGGTAGTTCAGTTTCAGTGATTGGCATGTGAGAATGGCAGAATAATAGTGTAAGTAACTGCCATGATGTGGAGGTGCTGGTGTTTGACTGGGATGGACAAGATAAGAAATCAGACGACATCAGGTTATAGTCCAACAGGTTTATTTGAAAACACAAGTTTTTGGAGCCTCACTCTTTCTTCAGATGTTAATG